GCCCTCGAGCCCCCTCCTCTACGGCAGCGCAAGGGCAGTTGTGACGGTCTGGGCGGGAGGCAGCGAGGGCTTTTGCCGGCCCGTCGCTGCCTTTGTCTGGTCGCGGGGGTGGGCTGGAAGGTGGGAGCCCCCCGGCCGGTGCTGTGCGCGCGAGCGTCGGCGCGCTGAAGGGCTGCACAGCCTTAGCAGTTCTCTCTCCACTTAATAAAAGAAAGCCCTATGTTATATATTATGTCTTCCAAAAGACAGATAGTGGTAGGATTTAGCACTTACGTGAACCCTTTGTTTACACCTGATCTAATGTTTATCCCAGGGCTAACAGGATTTCCTGCATGCTGAGTCTAAGCACCTACGCTGGTTATCGTTGCTGTAGTACTGAATCTCTACTTCTCTGTGATGCTTTATATGTTACTTACCAACAGTGAGTATCTGTGTTGAGGTGTTTTCTCACTGTATCAGAAGAAATCAGGTGAAGGAAATTCATCTGTCACGAGGCTGTGACATGAATAGAGACAGTCTGCGAATTAACAAAGAAAAGAAAAAAAACTGTTATCAATAGTGTGAGTATCAGGTTTTATAGTCAGAAGTATCTAGACACAGATGATGCATGCAGAATCTGACTGAAAGGCATTCTGAACTCCTAGAACATTAGAAAGATAACTTTGTATTATATTCAGCATTGCAAAGTATTTCAAAATGAAAGCAGTACTTTCTCTACGTGTCCTTTTTGGAGTGGGGTCATGCTTTCTGTAACAGGGACGCTGTAGTGTTATGTGTTATAACGTAGGGTAAGTCTAAATCGCTGCTGTATTTTTGCATACAAAGCACAATCCTACTATTAATTATTATTCTGGAACGACATCTCTTCAGCAGTCTGGTCTCGGCTTGGCTGTGGTTGCTCTGTTACCAGTCCTGAAGCTCATTCTTCAGAGCTGATCAAAAGGAGCTGGCAGAGCGCCTGTGTTGTGATTAATTTCTCACTCACTAGCATCTCTCCACAACACTTTGTGGTGGGGGCGTTTTTCTTTTGGAAATTGTACGGTGAACCAGTCTTCTGCCCATGTGTGGCTGCACAGATTGCTGTTTGTGCTATATTGCTTTTACTTCCTAGACTGTTTTTCTTCTCTGCAACTGGATATATCTTCCTATATCAGTTGATTAACATTAGGACTCTAAAAAGAGGAATCGATAACATCTAGCTGTGAATAATATTACCACAAGTGTTTGCATGGTTACACATTTATATGCATTTTTTTCATATTCTCTAACAGCATACAGCAGTATCTTTTTACATGAGTGTCACAAGGCTTTAGCTCTTGAAAGCCTCACTGATTTTTAACCATAACAACTTTTTAATGACAACTATGAGACCTTCCGTTTCTGCTTAGTTGCTTGCAATTGTGCTTTGTACCCGCTGGGGAAGCTTTGTGTCTGCCATTTCTATAATGATTCTTGCATTGTCTCTTAAATCAGATAATACAGGGGACTTCAATCTATTGAAAACAGTGAAGTTATTACTGTTGTAATTGAGAGCAGATTTTGGGCCTATATGTCTGAACTTGCATGCCATCCTGCTCTCCGTTTGCTGCGTATTCCTGCAATAGCTAAAGCATATTGATTCCTTTTATGAACTCATAATTGCACTTGGGTTACAGGTATGTTGGTTTAACCTGTTGTTATGAAATTTAATTTTGGAGGGGGATTTGGGGACAGAAAAAACCTCCAGTTGATTTCCCTTCTGTATTAACTGTTCCATTCAACTATGCTGGGGATATCTCAGCGCCACTTACTATATCCATACTGGAATGTTTCTGTGACGTTTCTGTATTACTATTGCTGTATTTCTCTTGGTAATAGTAGGAGTGAGAGTGCCAGTCAAGTAGAGTGCTATTGTTACTACCATTAGGTTACATAATGTTGCTAAGAGCTAATCTAGGCATAAGGAGGTAAAAATACTATATTCTCCTACAGTTACTGATTTAGGTGACAGTAGTGATTACGTGCAGACAGAAGATTTTACTACAAAAAGCTTGCAGCGCGCAGGATTCTACCAACGCAAAAGCCTTGAGGAAGCCACTGTTGTAACAACAACCCCATATTGATACTTTTTTTTTTCCCCACAACAACTTTTCTGGCCAGAAGCACTCTCTAGATTTCCCTTAAATTTAGCTGAATCTGTGGTTTCAACTAAAGCTGTGGTACTACCTGGCCAAACTTCTCTGTTGTAATGCAGCGTTTTCCCTTGTCTGTGTGCAGTGCTGAGTAACAGTGCTAGAAAGAGGATTTTGGCTGGCATCATCATGGGAGTTGACTCTTAACGTTGCCAGCTTTTACCTTGTCAGGCAGAAATACCTAGTGAACAGGTCGCCAGACACGGCTATGTTGGTAGCACTGACAAGGCCGTAAGTCCAGGTTAGAAACGATCTCAAACCCTGCTTGCGAGCTTTGGTGTGGGCAGGATCTTTGGTATGATTTACCTGACTGTTTAGCAAGGCTTACTGACAATTGATAGCAATATGATTTCACACCAAGAATTCCTGTCAGCATTCCCAGAGGTTTCCTGGTTAATACTGTAGCTATTTTGGAGCTTTCTAAGAGAACCACTTCGTACTTCCTTTAGTTCTCCTAAAAGTAATTTCACAAATGGAAGTAACTTGGAAAAAACTCCTCTTGAGTTGAACGTCTCTGCGTTTCTGAATTTTATATTTTGTCACAGATTAATTCCCCTTTTCCAAAAGAACCTACTCCCTTTCCTGTAGGGGGAAATACTCAAAATTCATTACCCCTCCCTTCCCCCTTCCCAAACACTTCCCAAGAGGAAGAGGAAACAAATGATGGGCTGACAACATGACTGCTTACCCATGCAGCACCATCGCCATGGAAACGGACTGTCCTAGAATAGCTCAATCACATGAGGGTTACATGACATGAATAAAGTAACCAGAAAACTGGAAAATACCTTAGAACTGGAGATACTTGCACTTAATTAATTGCCCCCAGGTCATGGTTTGTATCATAATTCGTTAGAGGAGGGTCATAAATTTTGCACTGAAGGGTTGTTTATTGTTTCGAACTGGGAGACATTGCTTGAGAATGAATTTTGAATAATTTTCCACCCGACCTCCTGCTTCTTGAAGTTGTTACCTGTAGTTTGCAGTGCTGCCTGAGTAGATCCGAGTGGATTTCCTCCTTTTGTTATCAATAGGCACCGATCACTCAGCACTTTTTAGAATATCCAAAATGTCCTAAACACTAGGTGCAGCAGTTGAAGGAAGAGCAGCCTGTGCGTATAAGGGATTGCAAAATCACCTTCACTTTCCTTCTAGTCAGCTATATATTCATAGGGCAGCTAGACTTATTGAGTGTAACCACTTTCAGTAACAAAATGAATATCTTTTATTGCCGATTATTTTTTCTCTGTTTCTCTGTGTTTTTAAAGTGAATGTTGTGACAGAGTCATTGAGAAACCTGTCATACAAATCAGATATAAACAAGTAAATATGCTACCAATTCAGCATAAAGTAAATTATAGTTAGGTAGAAAGAGAACTATTAATCATAGCTGCGTGTCACTGTGTTGTTAGAACGTTGTAGCCCCTAGAACAATGGGAGTATACTACAATTTCAATGGGCAGGCAAAGATTATTGATTACTTTTTCCTGTTTGTGCAGTCCCAGATCACGTTATTTGTCACAGCTTCCGCTTCTGAGATCAAGTTTTGTAATATGCTTTTTTGTCTGTTTTATGACCATAAAGATCATAAAACCATTACGCATTTATATTAGCACATGTACTGTCTTGGTGCCTCAAACAGGAAACAGTATAATTCCCGTCATCTCTCTCTTCGCAGAGGCCTATAAATGGACATTCTTCATTACTCAATGAAAAGGGATGAACATTAGTTTGGAAGACCAAATGATCTTTACAGGATTATAACACAAAGGAAGAAAAATCATAGCTCTTGCCTGTAGACTATGTACGGTTTAGTACATTATATGTAAATAGTTTTTTACGTTGATTATGACTGATCATGTTCAAATAACACTGCACAATTACTTTAAACCATTTCCAAACTTTTTTGATGTTTTCATTGAATGCATTTCTGATTTACAAAATACCATTTGAAGATACTTGTTCAGGGCTGTTTGTGTAACTTACAAAAGAGCTAACAATAGTTTCCCTTTTTCTTGCTTTACACCTTAAATATGTCGCATGAGCTATATGAGTAACATTACTGCCTGTTTATATGGTGCTTTTCTCCTATGCCGTCTGAAAATACCAAGCCAAACAGAAGTCTTAATTCTGAAAAATTTATCTAGGCACATCAATGCACATAATCCTACTGAAATCAGCAGCACTAATTATGCAAGTGAAGGTTAACAGAATCGGGTTTCATATCTGGTACATGCTGTGTTTACTTCAGACTGCTCTTACAATGTAGATATCTCTAGGGTGGATTGTTCATTTAAAGATTGCATTTTTAATGGTCTCATTCTCTTCCCAGTTTTGCTTAATAAATGCAAATGTTGTAATGTATAACTTTTTAAACCATTTAACCTGTATTCTTCTTAAAACAAAGTTGGAATTTGTCCAGACTTTTGGTCCTGATGGTTGTGTGATGTGTTGTGTTCCTAGAGAGTTTACAATCATTCACTTTGCGGATCAGGGAGAATGATGTTCTGTTTTTTGTTGTTTCATTTGAATGGCTTTATATTTGTTAAGAAGCACAATGAGTCATTCATTTTTGATTAGTTGATTAATGACATTGCATATGTGCACTGTTGTTGCAGAATATGAGATTTCTCTAGCCAACCATTCCCGTTTGCCAATGCAGTCTAATAACTGGGCTTTGGGAGGGGATGAAAGGAGTGACTATTACAGTTTGCATGAAAACAAAATTTTTCTTAACTAGTAATTTAAAGAAAAACACGGTGCTTATTCTCCTGGGACAGTTTTATCTTTAAGCAATACCTGTTAAAATAGCTGCTTTGACTCTGATTGCCCTCATTCCAGTAAAAGGAGCAAGCCTATGAAACAGAATCTAATTCTGATACAACTTACACTTGTATCAGGTCCTGCGTCCAACTGTAAGTTGCACATGCTTTAATTGCCTTAATTTGAGCAATAAAATATTGTAGATAATGTATTATTTTACAAGATGATCGTTCCTTTCTTCTAGTTGGAGTAAATGCTGTGTTTTAGGATATTTGCAGGGGCAGTGTTTGGAAATGTTGTTTTCAATCTCTGTGAGCATAAACATTAATCAGTTTGCATTCTGAGTGCAAAAGGCAAAAGTAGCTTTCCTGGAGGGCAGCAAAGGGGAATAGGGGTATAAAATCCAGTGCAAAGAAAGAGTAAACATGAGCTATTGAAACAAGCCATTTGTTCAGGTTGTACTTCCAACTCATGTGAAATCTTCCAGAGTGAACTGTAGCTAAACCAACAAATATTTTATTGTCTCAGACAGAAAAATGAAAACCTGCCCAGCCCTTGGTTTCTTCCTCCTCTTTGTGATCAGCTACGGCTCTTCCGCAAACTCGAGCACGTCCAGAGGGTGCGGACTTGATCTCCTCCCTCAGTATGTTTACCTGTGTGACCTGGATGCCATCTGGGGAATAGTACTGGAGGCAGTTGCGGGAGCAGGTGTGCTCACAACCCTGCTGCTGATGCTGATTTTGCTGGTGAGGTTGCCCTTCATAAAGGACAAAGAAAAGAAGAGCCCGCTGGGAATGCATTTCCTCTTTCTTTTGGGGACTCTAGGACTGTTTGGGCTGACGTTTGCTTTCATCATACAAGAAGATGAAACAGTGTGTTCCACCCGAAGATTTCTGTGGGGAGTTATCTTTGCTTTGTGCTTCTCATGCTTGCTTGCTCAAGCCTGGAGACTTCGTAGACTAGTTCGACATGGGAAAAGTCCATCTGGCTGGCATCTAGCTGGTGTGGCAATCTGCCTGATGCTCGTTCAAGTCATTATTGCAACTGAGTGGTTAATACTGACAGTTGTGAGAGATAACAAGCTGGCCTGCAATTATGAACCAATGGATTTTGCTATGGCTTTGATTTACGTTATGTTCCTGATGGTATTCACCATGGGATTTTCTCTTTTCACTCTTTGTGGAAAGTTTAAGAAATGGAAGAAAAATGGAGTATGCCTCATTATAACGCTCTTTTTTTCCATTCTGATTTGGGTAGCCTGGATGACTATGTACCTCTTTGGTAACGCTGAACTGAAGAGAAAAGACAAATGGAGTGATCCCACTCTTGCTATCGCACTGGTGTCCAGTGGCTGGGTGTTCGTTATTTTTCATGCTATACCAGAGGTCCACTGCACCATCCTTCCATCACAACAGGAAAACACACCCAATTATTTTGATACTTCACAGCCAAGGATGCGCGAAACTGCTTTTGAGGAAGATATACAGCTTCCTCGGAGCTACATGGAAAATAAAGCCTTTTCAATGGATGAACATAATGCAGGTAAGAATTTACTCTGTAGAGGACTATATTTTTCTGTAGTAGCAAAGAAAAACATCTGTACAAGATGTTCTTCAGGTGTTCAAAACAAGGCTCCTTACAAATGCCATGTTTTGCACACTACACGTTCCCTTTTAAATTGTTCATTAAGAAAACATCTTGGTGGTGAAAAGAAACCTGGGAAAATGTAATACAGAAAATACATGTGTTTTGTTAAAGTGATTCTTTGGGTTTTGATCTTTTTCATTGCAAAACTGAACAATTTCAAGTACAAAGCCAACACAAGCAGAAAAATTTCACTGTGAACAAATAACTTCCAGTTTAAAATAGTTTAACGTTCTTGGTCATTATCAGTTAACAGCCTTATATTTTAGATGAAATATTTTCCTAAAAACTGGGAAAAACTGTACTCTATTACAAAAGAGCTCAGCCTCTTGAGCAATAAAATAACGCTAATTATTAATTATACTTCCATGAAAATGTGACCCAGTGCCATTTTGTGACACTGTGGGGTAAAAATATGCAACGTGGTATACAGACAAGTTAAAAAACAGTCTTTGTTCTGAAGGCTTTATCTTTTCAATAGGAAAACCACAGATAGAGGATTCAAAATAATGGTCGTGCTGTGAGTTGCTTTACTCTTCATGGGTGTTAGACTGGTAAAATAGAACGACTGTGGGATGACACATACTCAGTTAAAACTGCAATGAAAATGTTTGAAATGTTTGAAAATGTTGAAAGGGCCACCAAGAACTAGTGACTTAAGAGATCCAAACCATAGCTGAAAGCTGAACACATATCAGAAAATACACAGGGATGCTTATGTGACTGCAGGAAGGACTTGCCTGATGTTGTCCTGTAGCGTAGGCTGCCTTCTGGTGGTGTGTCCCATGACAGGATAGATAATTTTTTAAGCGGTTGACTGCTTCTTATTCACTGTAATTGAAAAGAGAACTTGGGTATCTCAGCCAATAGCTGCTTCATTGCTTTGGCAGCCCCCAAAGGCGGCTTGGGGCATTTTATGTCTGCACTTTACCTGCTTGTTCATCTTTATGCATCTTTGTTTTCCTCTGGGTTTGACATAAGGCTGTTGCAGCTGAATGGATGTAGACCAGACACGGAGGAAAGTAACTCTTGTTTGTGACGATGTGGGTCAGGAAGACGTTTTCCCTCTAAGTGCATTAGTGGGAACTTTAAAGATCTCCTCCTTGTATAGCGGCTTTGAACAGAAATGAGTTAGGATCATGTGGGTACCTAGCAAGGGCAATGGTAAAACAAACAAGGAAACTCATGGATAAAAGAATGGCTGTTTATTGCTGATGTTCCAGAGGAGCAGAGGCAGCTTCACCACTGACTGTAAAAGCTCTCTTACTTCTTTTTACTCTCCTTCATCCGCATTAAATTAATTTCATACTAAGGTAACTGCAGTGATTTCAGTGGAGTTATTTCTGGCTAAGGCAGATCTAAGAACAAAACTGGATCATTCACTCTATTATTCTCATTCACGCATACATTTTTAAAAAAGGACTGCAGATCTTTTTTTGATCTAATCACTTCAGTGATTTTTTTAGTGAAATGGATAGAGGTATGATCCCCATATCCCATTACAGTATTTACTCCAGTGTAATTTATGATGTTCTGTTTTAATCTGATACTGTATTGGTAATACAATACAAAACAGATTTCCCTATCTGGTATCCCTATTAATATTTATCATAATGAATGCATGTCACTTTTATTTCTATGGCATGTGGAAGAAGGATGTTTGGAGGCAACACTTACTAGCATGGTAGAGACTTAAAATAAATACAGGTAATAATATTCAAGTCACATACTATGACTGCTGAAGTGTTAATTGAAGTCAGATCACTGCATTGATGGTTGTCAGTGGCAAAGCACCTGGAATCTATTAGCAATTGGCTCTCTGCAGGTATATAGAGAATATTCTCTTCTTTTAATTTTTGTAATTACTTTGGTTCAAAAATTCATTGTTCAGAGTTCAGCAATTAAAGAAATGTTTCTTTTTTCAATTATGCATGAGAATTATGTTTAATATGAGATTTACTCATTCTAAAATCTTGGCCGACAAGATAACCAGAAATCACCTCTTGGTTCCCTGATTATAATACTTGTTTTAGTAAATAGTTAGCTTTAAATAGAAAACATCTTCGGACAAATGTATTTTCTATTTATTCACTATGTGTTAAGTAGTTTTGCTTTTTTTTTTTTAAAGTTTGAGACAGCATTTTAAGACTATAAGATACAGTTTCAAATAAGCATGTGTTCTCCTAGTATTTCTGGTTCTTAGCAAAATGTAGCTCCAAGTTATATATACCAAAAAGAGCTGTCCTATTCCAGGAATATCATAAATTAAAACAATTTTAAGGTCAGTTATTTAAGCATCATTATTAAAATCTGTATTTTTAATAATCCAATGATAGATATGTTGAAATATCTATTTAGAAGAGTTATTTTCACACCTGTGCCTTGTACAAAATTTTTAGTAAAGTATTTAAAATACCTGCAAAGGGCTAACTTAAATGACTTCTCTGTAAGTGCAAAGGACATTAATAGGGCAAATTCTCCAAGGCAAACAGAATTTGCTTATACATAGAAAATATGATATGAAAGGTAGAGTGCTAGAACTGTCAAGAAATCCAAGCCTAAGGAGCACTGATACTCACCGAGTATCATTTAATAAATTTGACCACAAGTCATCCTCTGAGCAAAGGCCTAAAACAGAGCTAATAAAATTTAAAATATGTGTTAAAAGGAGACTTTGCAAGACGTTTGCTCAAATCTCCCAGGTATTGTTAATTTTTTGTTTAAAAAATATATATCCTCTACTCTATTAGATGTGTCTAACAGAAATAGGAAAAAAAAAAAGCAAAAATTGAAAAAAAAACCAAACTGGTATGTGGAAAAAGCTATGAAATGAAGATTTTCTCTAAAAGCTTTGTCTCCTAGTCTCGTGTTAAAACAATTTTAGAAACCTACTTGCAATAACAGGGAAGAAAAGCTCAGCAATATGAAATTGAATTTAGCATCCCTTTAAGATAATTTTAAAATGACCATGTAAATTATATAGTAAAAGGCATGTGTAAATATTCTAGTTTAATGATAGTATATATTATTAAGAAATATTTTTTATTTGTGTATTATCAAATACCAGTGCAATTACTTGTTAAAAATAAAATAAGAAGCCAAACTATAAAGA